AGATTTAATTTTTTTTTACCCCAAAAACTACCTTCATTCTATATATGAATATCATTAAATTATTATAGGTTTACCATCATACTGGAAAGTTGGCATTTAATTTTTGAGTAAAATTACATAAATAAGTTCAGACAATTTCTAAAGCACACTATATTAATAGTAAACAAAAGTATATTATGATTTAATGACATGAAAGCTTCCAAATAAGTAAAAAGTGGGATATTTAATCTCATTCATAATCTCAAACTATTAGCACATATTCCTTTAAATTTTAAAAAAAGATCTTTATTAAAAGGGTACAAGGGAGTCCTAATTAAGTAAATGTGAACTAAAATTGAACCCCCGATCCGGTATGTTCATCTGTTCTCCTCCTTTATTTTCAAACACTAAGTAAAGATTCAAAGAATATTTTCGAACAAATCTTCATTTCTTTTCTTCTTTTTTCCCCTTCTTTTGAGACATACCACTCTAGTACTTATTACAAGTTACTTACAACTCATTCTCACATGCTAATAAATGTGTTAAATTAATAAATTTTTTCAAATTTTACTCTTATTAAAATTTTTACTCTCACTATATTTACAAATCACTCTCACGTCTCTATCTTATTTTTTTCATTCCAACAAGAATCAAGTAAGGACAAAATTGCAAAATGATCATTAAATACTATACAAGTGACTTATATTTATAGTAAAAAATTTCTCCAACAAGTAACTTATAATAAGAACCATAGTGGTACTTCATTTTTTTTATTGTGTTTTTTTGCCTTTTCCTCTCATTTCTGTGGTCTTCTATCTAAGACTTCTAATTGTCTCTATGAATGGAAATACTACAGCGTCCTTCCTACGCAGTTTCGTTCTTATTTGTATATTTAGATTTTAGGTTTTGACCCTATTACTAGCTTCTTACATACGCATGATAATAATGGGGTGCATACATAATTCCTTGTCCTTCACTCAATTAGCTTTTCCTAATTTGGAGGGGCAGCAAATTAGTGCTATGACTAATTAAGAATTTAGAATAGCATTAACATACACGTCCTATTCTTTTTGACCAATTGCCTGTTCAATTTTACCGACAAATATGAAGAGGCGTGTGGGAATTGATGAGTTTGCCTTAATATGTTTTCAAAAACTTGTAGATCATATCGTGATTACAAAATAAAGGTTAATTACTGACAACATTAGCGATAGAAAATTATACTATCGCTAATATAAACAGGCAAATTTGAATATCCGGTAAACTTGAAATTTTTTAATAATTTAAGACATTAATAATCAAGAAAAAAACAGTTAATATCACATTAAATATGTCTTAATTTAATTCAAAAAAAGAAGGAAAGGAAAGATAACATGCCCTCAATTAATTAAATACAAACAGCTGTACCACCAAACCCCCCCCCCTCTTTTGCTTTTGACGGTCATGGTTAAAGGAATGGGAAAATACGTTAACTTTTCGAGGACAACCAAATGGGAAAGGAATAGCCATGCACCTTCACTAATCACCATCACTAACAAAGATAGAAACTCCATATTTGATTGTCAATATCAACAGCTTATTATCATTATTACTTTGAAATATGAGGGAGAGAGCAAGCAACCTGCTATTTCAGAGTACAGAATAAAGGGAATCTCTTTCCTTTTCCTTCCTTAATTTCCTTTCATTTCATCCATCACTCGCCGTGCCTCTGCCCAAAAAGGAAGACTGAAATGAAACAACACTTTCGTTGAATATACATTTGAAATTGATGAGCTTGATTCATTGAATATGATCGATCGTTCTCGGTCTTGCTTTGCTGGTATCAATTGGTGGTCCGTTCATTACAAATAGATAGTAATAAATTGATGGGTTTAATTTGACAAAGAACAGTTCAACTTCCAATTCCATGTAAGGAAGGGCCTACGTCCAAAGCCACAATGAAGGTTTGCATCTGATCAGTAAAAGGTGCCATCGTTCAAAAGAAGTTGCCAAGAAAAACAACATATCAATTAATCATGGAACCCACCAGCTGAGGGAATCTTTAATTATATGGGATTAGTGGTTAATGCTCTGTGACTAAGAAAAGCTTTTCCTAATCTGGAGGAGCAGCAAATTAATGGTACGACTAAGGAAATCTTGTAAACACATTATTAGCTTTTCCTTATTATTCTTCAGGTGCTCTATTTTACTGACAAAGATAAAGAGATGTATGGCAATTGGATGCCATGAATGCTCTGATATATATGTTTTCAAAACACTCCTCTCATTATGTTCGTTATTTTTGTTGAGCTTTCTACTCTTTATGTTTTCCCTATCTCATTTTCTGTAAGATAAATATCGCTCTTAATAAATATGCAAGATATTCTTAAAAAAAAGAGAGGATATTTGCATATAAATTTTTTAATTAATTCAGTGATATTAAATGGACAGAAAATGAAAATTTAATTGTCATGTTTAAATCTTACTTAAGTTAAAATTAAAATAAAAGGGACTTATAGTTCAAATAGATCATTTTAAAAAATTTTGAATGACTAATTTTGAGAATTACATACATAATTGAGTGACAAAACTATATCAGAGGTATTAATCATAGCATATGCACTTTTGCCAAATTACATTTGTGTGCATCTTAATTTAAAATTAAAATAAACGTGCCTTATATTATTAAGAGGAAATTGATTATTCATACATGGACATATGTTGTAAAATAAATAATACTAATTTCCCCGCCTAAAAGCGCGAACACAATTTACAGCTTAACTAGCGATATACTACCTCATGCCCTTAATACAATAGCTAGGTAACTAATTTAGGAATATTAAAAAAATTAGTTAAGTTTATTATTTATGACAAATATGTGTTACCTTTCCTAAACCATCCTATTTAATTATGTGTATTGAAACTAATTCTTTGTGGAAACCCTTTTGATGAGAGCCTTTGTCATTCTCCTTGGGGTTCTAGATCGAAAATAAATCCAAGCAATGTAATATAGTATAAAACTCGGGTCGTTTCACTTTAAAGAGCTTTTATTTGAAATCCCAAGCAAATTAAGTATCAAAAATAAAGAATTGACTTGGAAAGGGATTGATTTTCTTTTTAACTAACTAATTGGCAAAATTTAAAAGGATGTAAAATGAGTAAATAATTTTTGGATTTTTAGTTTATAAAATGGATATGAATGAAATAAGCAAAGAGAATTAGCAAGTGACAGCAAATGAAAAAGCAATCCTCTACCATAATGATTAAGGCTATCATTATTTCAAGTAATTTGGGAGTTAGCTAAATTCAAAAGACTCTAAGGGCCACCCCTTAGACTCGGTTTAGTTAGAATAATAAATACCAAGCCACCTTGTATATTAATTACTCACAATTAAACTGTTTCAGCACAATTAGCTAGAGAGAATCAAAGAAATGCAATTAATATTTTTAGTCCAATAACCAAGTCACCTTGAATTACCACTGAATGTTCACAATAATTTCAAAACATAGTTTGACCCAGTACAATGTAAAGAAATTAAAGCTAATCACAGCATAATGTTAAATGCTAATTAAAGATTCCAACAACTACAACCAATCTCAATACAAATATAAATCATCACAGCACATTCAAACATTATAAAATTCATTCTAAGATCTAGAAATTACAATTACAATAAAAAAAAGTAAAGATTGGAAAAGCTGAAACTCCCCTTTAAAGCTCTAAGTTCAAGCCATAACTATTGCTCTAGAGAATTGGAAGGATTTAGCTCCTCCTAACCATCACTACAGCTCCACCAAAATTCCAATTCGGTTCAGCCATGAAGAACAATGAAGATGGAATTTGGAGGAGTGATTTAGCCGTGGAAGCTCACTGTTTTCTGGTCTCTGGTTCTGTCACGCCGTCTTTGATCTCTCCTTTTTCTCTGCTATCGCTGATCTGTCTCTGCCACCAGGAAGAAGTCGTGGAGAAGAAAGAAGAAGAGATGCTGTCGATGGAAGATGAAGACTCAAAGGAATGGAAGTGTGATCGCCGTGAAGCTATGGTCCTTCATTCTCTCTTCCTCGCCGCTGGTCCTCTCTCCTGTTTTTTTTCTGCCTCCCGCCATCGCTCCTCCCTCTTCTTGATGACCGAATGAGGGTGATGATAATTGATTTAGGGATGTGTTTTGCTCCCCCATTTATTATTATTATTATTTCTTTTTAATTTATTTTTTTAATTTTCATTATTTTTAAATCTTCCAAAAACCTGCAATCAAAATTCAAGAATAAGGTAGCATTAATTGTCCTTAAAAATCAATCAATCACAATTATGACAAATTTACCCCTATTATGCACTAATTCAAGTTAAAGCACTCTAATATAAATTATACTCAAATAATACAATTAAGGACCAATAATAATGACAAAAACCCACCAAAAATATATAAAAATGCATGTAAAAACATAGGTTTGTCACCCTTACAATCAATAGATATATTTTGTTTCCTTGCACTGAAAAAAAGAAGATATAAAGTTTGGAAAAAAAAAATGAATTGATGTTTTATATTTAAAACCAAATTCAATCCTAACTAGCTTTTATATTAAACACATGAGTTAACATCACTCATACCATGGAGATACAAACATGAGTCCAATAATAAATTAAAAATGAATGTAAACAAGAATTGAAACTTAACCATAAAAATTGAGTCTTAAATATGGACACTCAGGACTCAAGATTCTTCACAACGAATGAATATACTATATAGTAGGATGATAAAAGCCTTGTATTCTAAAGTAGAATATGATAGTTTAAAATTTAAATTGTCTGAGTATATATTATCAAACACCAACAATAATTAATGATACTTCAACAAGATAGTATAAACACGATTTAATAACGGTGAGTGGTTAAACGTTAACGTATCCATCGTATTTTAAGCAAAAGGCTTCCAGACGCAAGCCACCCTCCTGGACCTTTGCTTGCTCTTCCTTCAAATGTGAAAAGCTAAACAAAAACATAATGTGCCATTTTTAAAAGTTGTTTTGGCATTAGAAGGAAGTGAAAGTGATAGAGGGGCTGTGTAGCTGGGACTCATCTTTTATCATATTTTTAACCAATAAGGAGTGCATTAATAAGAATAAGTAAAACAAGAAATAAAGCATTTAATACCTTTTCAAAATATATAAATGACACCTATTATGAAATGATAAAAGGGTTTTTGGTGATAACGTATAAGAAAAATCTGGGAAAAATATTTCAGAAATTTAGCAATGACAGATAAGGACGACGGATTTTAATAATCTCAGGTTTTTGATATAATTAACTGATTTGAAATTATTAAAATTCAACACCCTGATTTGTCATATCTAAATTCTCAGAGTATCTTTCTAGGATTTTTCCGGGTTTGAATCCTCTTAGCGGCACCCTCAGTCAGCGTGGCAATATGGTTCATTCAGATTAATTTATGAGCTCACAATATGCCACACATCATCATGCTATTAAAAATAAATCTGATCAATATTATAAAATTACTGTATAATTTTAAACTTTTTTTTTCTTTTGTGGAGCGAAACACCTAATTTCTTAAACCTACTCATTTTAATGGTAGAGTTTACTGGGAGTCCAGCATGTATAAACTGAGCTACATAGAACCATAAGCAAGGCAAAGCTATGTCATCAAGTATTTTAATTAAAAATTAAAACAACTAAAATATTTAATATAGCTTTAATTTGCCACTCTTTCTGGTCTTATATCTGACTCGATCTATATCAGATTGGATCGAGATAAATTTTCCCATTGAGGTTAAATAGGACTGTAAAATTGTATATAAATATTTGGTGTGGTCATCTGAATCAATCTAGACCTCTCATAAATCTTCTAGTTGAAATGACGTGGCTGCAAAAAAAAATGAATATTTCATGCTAAAAAACCTTAAAGAATAGTTTTAAGTACACTATGATAAAGATTTATTCTTAATTTTTATTAACATAATGAAGTGGCATATTGTGAGCCCTAGATAAATCTCAATAGCCGCCATTTGGACGCTGAGAGTATCATCTTCCGATTTTTCCAGACTTATAATGAAATGAGGGAAGTAAAAAAATTACTACACGTAATTTCTTTTTGAGGCAATGTCCTTGCGTATCCATTTTCATTACATATTACTACATTTTTCTCTTTGGGCGTCCCACCAATGCAGAAGTGCCATTTGGCACTGGACCATCTTCCCTCTTTTGCTATATATATATATATATATATATATATATAAAATACCCACTCACACTCTGCAACACCATCTCATCAATTTCCATCCTTACCAATGTCCTCTCTACTCTTCCTCTTCCTTCTCATCTCACCTCTGAGCATTAATTTCCCATTCGATGTGGTTTTATTTGTTGTTGTGCTTTGCAAAACGGTAAGTCTACCATACAATCTCTCATTCTTCTCTTTCTATCTCGTTATGGATTTTGTTGATTTTTGGAACTGAATTGTTGGCGTGATGTTATGATTTTTCTTTAATTTCTTACTATCTTCTTTTCCTCCTTTGCATCAAGGTTCAGATCAGATCTATCTGCACATGCATGTCATGACTTCGATTGTGATTTCTTTGATTAACTCAGTAAATTAAAAGGTATATTTTGACTTCGACTTGGTATACTCTGACATTAATTTTCAAGGGGAAAGTGATTGAACTACGTACCAACTCTACCTCCTTCAATCACACAGTTTTAATTTGACACTTGTCAACTTAGAAACATCAATCAATCGCTTCCATATATCTCAAACACTAGTTCCCAGCAAGTTGATGTTAGTGAAAATTTATTCTCTGGTCCTATTAATCCATGGCTTTCATATTATGCAGGCAAGGGGCTATTGAATCAAATATTTTGTTCTCCGCAGTATCCAATACCATGAGGGAAGTTTTTTTGATAAACACTATGAGGGAAGTTAATTGGCCTATTTGTGGGGAATAGTTCCACTAAATTGATTGGATCTTAATCGGAGAACCTTTGCATTATGTCCTAACCAATTTGGTATATATGCTGATAATTTATTCTCTCCTACATCAAGGTCCTGCAAGTTCTGGCAATTTTTAAAGGATGAAGGTATCTCTCCAATTAAGTTATTTTTTTCTTAAGATCCAAAACATTATGATTAGACAAAAAGCCCAAAGATATCCAACGATTTCCAATCATTCATCCGACAATCTATTAGCTCACCTGATAAAAGATTATCAGACATAACCAAATAGACTAACTGGCTTCTCCCACATTCATTTTTTGACAGAATAAAGGAGAAAGGGATCCTTGGAAAGACCTTTCTTTTTTTTTGTGCATTGAACCAGACAACATTTGGTGACAATCGAGGGAGGGTGCCTTTGATTTTATTTGAATATAACCTTATGTTGTAGAGTTTAGTAATACATTGGAAATGTCCCCGACAATTGTGTTGTAAGTTACGTGGTACTTGCTCTACAAAGTCCCAAAATTTGTCTTGGGATTCCAATGAAAAGCTTGAGTTACTAATTTGTAATAACTCGAGATGTTTGGGTGTGTAGCCATGTAGGAAGTTTAGGATCTACCATGTATCAAATCAATTTGTTCAAGCGGAAAAGGAGTAACCCAAAGAGAATCAAAGTCAAAGATCAAGCCTAGAGATCCCATTAAAAGATGAGTCAGCTTCGAGAGTTTGGCGAAATTTCTTTCAGACACATACCTGGTCAAGTGATTATCATCAAATTCCAGTATCTCCAAGTTCAGGAGGAGCCCAAGACTTTCTAGAAGATTACCATTTAGATGATTTGAGAAGACATGCATGGAGGTGACTCAACGATGATAAATTTCCCAAAGTTGAAGGAATAGGACCAGAAAATAGATTTTCACCATCACAACTTGTTGTAGATGTTCAATTTGGCGTAACCAATCTGGAATTGATGATCTGCTGAGTTTTTTGTGCTTCAAATAAAAGTTCCGCAATTTTGAAGGTTTAATAATCTCTCTGGGAACTGGTCTTGAAAATTAGTATAGCTCAAGTCAACGTAAGTGAGATTCGTAAGATTGAATAGCCAATAAGGTAAGAGAGAGCTAAAACCGTTATTTGTAGGGCTAATGAATTCAAGTGAAGTAAGATTGACGCATTGGAGAGTTGGTGGTTCAGTCAGGGAGTTATATATACTTTGATGGTTGTCAACTTAGAAACACCAATCCCTCTCTCCAAAGTGTCAATCTTACTGCACTTGAATTCATTAGCCTTAATTATAAATTACGGTTTTAGCTCTCTCTTACCTTATTGGCTATTCAATCTTACTAATCTCACATATGTTGACTTGAGTTATACTAATTTTCAAGACTAGTTCCCGGAGAGATTATTAAACCTTCGAAAATTAAGTTGTATTTAAAGCACAAAAACTCTCCAGAGTAATTCCAGAATGGTTAGGCCAATTTGAACATCTACAAGAAGTTGATGTTAGCGAAAATTTATTTTCTTGTCCTATTCCTTCAGCTTCAGGAAATTTGTCATCGTTGACTCACCTCCATTGCTTAGCATCCTTGTGACTTGCTACATCCAGTCCTTAATATAATAGCTAGTTTAACTTTTAATTTAGTCTTAAATATAAGATCCCAATCCATTTTATCTCTCATATTTATCCATTATTTTCAAAATAGCCCTTATAGTAATTACACATATTAAAGATTCTATCAAATGGTAGTTTTAGTTAATATACATGATTAGCAAAGGTATTTTAGGAAAGACAACACATATTTATTATAAATAACTAACTTAATTAATATTTTTAATTTATCCAAATTAATTAACTATGTTTTATATCAAGGACCGAAGATAGTATCAACTACTCTTATTGTCCATAATATAGATCGCTTCTAGAAAAATGGCTTTATCTAAAATATAAATCATTTGGAGAATAATTAATGTTTATTTGTTAGTTCTATCCCTGCAATTAATGCTCAAATGTATTAGTAATTCTTTTTGTTTTTTATCTCGTTCACAACATCATTCGATATGGGTAAAGTTACAAAAAAATTTTAATTTGGAATATATCTAACAAATTTGATTTGGAATATTTTTTTTATAAGCAATTTAATTTGGAATATATCTAATAAGTTAACTACCATTTTTTGATATTGTCGAATTAGTTAAATTGACTTATATTGTGGACGGGAGGGAGTACTTCTCTTGAAGGAATTATATGCATTTATTTACTTTTTAAATATAAATAACATGTGAATTGGAATCATATGTCCCTTTAAAAAACAAAAAACAAATAACCAAAGGTTACGGGGAATAATAGGATTTGATCGCAGCGCTTGCGATCCAAAATTCCCTTTCAAGTCAATATAAAAACTTTAGGCCATTTCCTATTGTTTATTAAAAAGAAATATTTTAATTTCGTCTTTAGTTATACAGACATACTAGTACTTCTTAAGGATTCAAGTTGTATGCAGAAAATAGTACTCTCTCTCTATAAATATATATCTATATATATTACACGGCTTTAAAGTAACTAAAAACTTCTATAATGCTTAATGTATGAGTGACTTAACTAATTTGAGTAGATTAAAAAACCTAAATAAATTATTTAATTAGAATAAATGTAATATTAGAATACATATCAGTTTATAAGTTAAATAAATAAATTTAGACAAAAAATGATAAATATGAGAGATAAAATAAATTAAACTCTTAAACCAAAAGAACTTTCTAACTAACTCCTAGGGTTATACTAGAGAAGTAAGAGGTTTGTTTTACTCACCACGATGCCCACTAGGTCTTCAACGACAGAGACCGTTCATCCTAAGGACCAATATGACATAAAGTTTGTCTCTGATGTGATAGAGGAATCTGAAGTAAGCATGCCTGAAATTTCTGTTGAAGAAAATATCAACACAAACTCCCCAAAAGGCTGTGGCAAACTCAACTCCCAACCCAATGTAGGAGGAAGATAGAAATTCTTCTTCTTCACTGTCATTTATTTCAAGGGAATCCACGTCTTGTTTGTCTGTGCAGTTCTTTGAAAGTGGAGCTCCACATAATTCAGAATTCCCATTATAGCTTTGTGCATGAGACCCTTGAAGTTGAGTTCCTGATAGGATCTTCCCAGGAATTGTTGAAGGAGTAGGGGTTCAAGGTTCCCAGAAAAGATAACTTAGCCATGCTTTGACGAATTTCACCCAAAAGTTGATTGCTTGAGAGATCAAGAGACTCCAAATTATTCCAGTTGCTGACCTCATTTGTTATGTTTCCCTCAAGTTGATTATGAGATAAGTTCAAAGATTGTAATCCAGCCAATCTAAATATTTCTGGAGGTATTGATCCAGAGATATCATGGAATGTGCAAATTCCCTTAGCTACACATGCTCTTGTTTGGATTAACGAAGTAAAAACTACACTTCACCAGCAGCAGCGTCTTCTGTCAAAGGGAAATACATATTTATATGTGTGTGTATATTTATATATATTAAATTTTCAAAGTTAAAAAAAAAAAAAGCTTAGTAAAAATATAATTAAACCAGAAGTTTGTTCACTTACTACAATTTACCAATAAGGTTTTCAGCGGAAACGAAGTAATGTTCATCTTGAGGACCACTATGATATAAAACTCAGGTGGGTGTTATAGAAGGTTAGGATTTACTTTCAAATAATATGCATTATTGGGTTCTTGTGCCAGTTGGTTGTGCAGTGTGGGGTTTCAGACTGGATTCTTATTAACGTCCATGTGAATCTTACTATCTCTATCTCTGCGGAAGGTATTATTATGATCTGCACGTTTACTTTTAAATATTAAGAAAAATATCTGTATTATAAGCTTGTTTGGACGCATCTTTTATCATCTTTTAACTAACAAGCAGTGCATTAACAATGTTTTCACTCGCAGTTTTTTCTCGCAAAATCGAGAACATTAATTATTGGGCTTGGAATAAAACTAAGAAAACTTATTAGAAACTACGGTTGTGGAGAGAGAATTTTCTGCTCAATTCATCTCAAGCTTCATCAGAAAGAAAGGAACGAGAAAAATTCTCTGGACCTGTCTCAAACTAATTTGACAAAGGTTCAGATAACTTTATCTGAAATTTGCCAAACTAAAGGCGAATTTAGCAACAGACTTTTTAAAAACAGAAAAATCCATCCCTATATCAGTTGTTAGTAATCATCATCATCATTTTTCTAATTAAGAGTTCAATAATTTTCTGTGATTGTGGGGATTTACCAAAACATTAGACCAACTGTTGGTTGACGGTGACTACAACTCAATCGTCCTGACAAAGAGGATCATTCCTTCTCACCAATTTACTCATCTCAATCTTAGAGCGCACAACCACAAAATTCGCATCAGCCTGAGCAACGTCTCTGTGACTTATCAAATCCATCTGTTTGAAAGGAATATAATTACGTGTATTTCTCTATTTTTTAAATATAAAACATCTGAATTGGAATCATATGTCCCTTTTTATTGGTTTTAATCAAGCACGCAAAGGTTACAGGGAATAGGAGTATGATGGCAGCGCTGGCCATCCCAAATTGCCTGTCAAGTCAATATAAGAGGTCTATTTCTGAACTAATTTCCTCGTTATGTAAGGACACATGCTTATTACAGATACAAATTTATTTATGCAGAAAATGGAACTATAGTAGTAGTACACGGCCTCAAAGTAACGCAACAAACTAAAAGCTTCACTCCACTTGTAATATGCATTCATCAATAGCTTCACTTCGCCCTCCCTTGCAATGTTCAGTCTAAATGACTTGATGAGCTGACTTACTGAACACGCATAGCAACAACCTGCATAATATATGACCAAAGCATGTCTTCTTGTCATAGTTATTTGTGATTAGAATAAAAGATCTATATAGTTTTAGCATACTATAAGAAAAGGGAAATATATAACATTTAAAAGACTTAGTCAAAACTTACATCACAAGTTTGTTTCACTTACCACAATGCCAGCAGGGTCTTCAACGGAAACGGTTCATCCTGAGAACCATTATGACATAAATTTTGTCTCTGATGTGATATAGGAATCTGAAGTAACAATGCCTGAAGTTCCTGTGGAAGAAAATGGCAACATAAACTCCCCAAAAGGCTGTGGCAAACCCAACTCCCAACCCAATGTAGAAGGAAGATAGAAATTCATCTTCTTCATTGTCATTTCCTTCAATGTGTTCCACGTCTTGTTCGTGTATGCAGTTCTTTGGAAGCGGAGCACCACAAAGTTTAGGATTCCCAATATAGCTTTGTGCATCGGACCTTTGAAGTTGAGTTCCTGATGGGATCTTTCCAGTGAAATTGTTGAAGGAGAGGTTCAAGATTTCCAAAAAAGACAATTTATCCATGCTTTGAGGAATTTCACCGGAAAGTTGATTTCTTGAGAGATCAAGAGACTCCAAATTGTTCAAGTTGCTAATCTCATTTGGTATGTTTCCCTCAAGTTGATTATGAGATAAGTTCAAAGATTCTAATCCAGTGAGGCTAAATATTTCTGGAGGTATTGATCCAGAGATATTATTACTTGATAGATCAATAGCATGCAAAAACTTCAAGTTGTTTTCATAACTCAATCCTTGGCCTTTTATATGCACCATAACATTGTCACTGATATGACTCAAAAATCCTGGAGTTTTAATGCAAACTCCATAAACCCTATTATCTAAAGAATTAGGGAAAGCCATAGCTGTGAGATTTTGTATACAAATAGGTAATGAACCTGATATTTTGTTGTCTGCAAAATCCAATATTCTAAGGGAAGCCAATTGGCATATTTGGGGTGGTATATTTCCACTTAGTTGATTGGATCTTAGTCGAAGAATCTTTGCATTTTGTGCCATCCAATTCATTAAGAATCCAGATAATTTATTTTCTCCTACATCAAGGATCTGCAACTTCCTGCAATTTACCAGCGACAAAGGTATCTCTCCAAATAAATTATTTTTGTTGAGATGCAAAACCACAAGGTTAGACAACAAACCAATTGAATGGGGGATTGTGCCTGTTAGATTGTTGCCATCTAGCCTCACAAAAACCAATGATTTACATTGCATCCAACAATTTGTAAACCCTCCAGATAAAAGATTAAAAGACATGTCCACATACTTTAATTGGCTCGTCCCATTCATTTTTTGACACAATAATGGAGCGATAGGCCCTTGGAAAGAGTTATGTGACACATTGAACATCGCAACATTTGGTGACAATCGAGGGAGGTTGCCTTTGATTTTATTTGAACCCAGATTTATGATGGTAGAGTTTAGTAACACGCTAGAGATCTCCCCATGAATTGTGTTATGTTGTAATTGTATGTATGGCACTCGTGCTACAAAGTCCCAAAACTTGTCTTGAGGCTCAAATGAAATTGTTGAGTATTTAATTACTAGTCTGGAAAGAGACATTTGTGTATATATCCATGGGGGAAGTTTAGAGCCCACCATGTGATCCAAATAAACCTCTTCAAGCTGAAAAGGAGGAACCCATACAGGATTGAAGTCAAAGATTAAACCAGGTGATCCCATGGAAAGATAATTCAAATTTGAGAGGTTGGCAAAAAAATTTTCAGACACATACCCTGTCAATTGGTTATCATCAAAATATAATGCCTTCAAGTTGAAGAGTTGTCCAATAGTTTCTGGTAGACTTCCATTTAAGTAATTTGAACTAACATCCAAGTAAATCAAGGATGAGATATCTCTCAAAGTTGAAGGGATTGGACCAGTAAAGGAATTTTCACTAAAATCAAGAAACTGTAGGTGTTTAAGTTGGCCTAAGGAATCTGGAAGTGGACCAGAAAAGGAATTTGCACTAACATCAAGAAAGTGTAGATGTTCAAGTTGGCCTAAGGAATCTGGAAGTCGACCAGAAAAGGAATTTGCACTAACATCAAGAAAGTGTAGATGTTCAAGTTGGCCTAACCAATCTGGAATTGGACCAGAGAAGGAATTTTCACTAACATCAACAAACTGTAGATGTTCAAGTTGGCCAAACCAATCTGGAAAGAATTCAGAGCTAAAAGCATTATGAGCGAGGCCAAGAAATTCAAGCGAAGTAAAATTGACATAGTGGATAGATGCACTAATATTTGAAAGCTGACAACTATCAAAGCGCAACTCAGTAAGGAAAGGAACAAGAGTTGCTAATTGGTGCCAATCAACTCTCCCTTGAAGATTAATGCCACAAAAGTTAAGATATTTCAAGGCGGGAACACAAGAAAGCCAATGAAGACTATCAAAGTGAAGATCTTCATTATAGGATAAATCTAGATAATGAAGATTAGAAGAATTTTGGCATTCAAACGCAGATATGTTGGTAGAGTTTGAGATATCCACACTATCATTTTGGATAATAGCATGGAAGTCATGATTTCTCAAATCCAAGTAATTTAGAAACTCAAGCTGAAGCAAAGATAGGTGGAGATCACCTGTAAGACACTGGCTTTCGTCCTCTTCATCACAATCAGTAGCACTGGGTTGTGGAGAACATGGGAGGTTAAGCATGATCACTCTACCGGTGGTGTTGTCACACTGAATTCCTTCCCACTGACAGCAATCTCGTTCATCAGACCAAGTAGAGAGGATGGCGTATGGATCAGAAGCAGTGTGTTTGAAGTTTAGGAGAAGATGACGGTCTCTTTCATTGCATTGAGCGCTCAAGCTGCTGCACATGTCTTGGGAGAGCATGGTTGCGAATATTATCAGAGAGCATAGCAGCAAAGCATTAGCAATAGAGGGGAAGAATAAGGTATCCATGATCTCTGAAGATATGGTTGCATGTGTGAAGATATTGTGGCCAATGACACCCATTTATATGCCTATAAGATGACAATTACTGTTTGTCTTCGTGACATAATCCATGAAAATATTAATGATTTTTCCTTTTCCGTCATGACTGGGCAACACGGTGGAGTTACAGATACAGCAAAGCTTACATTTTTTATATGCCCTAACCAATAAAATAATTCCAACTCCTATATTATGGGCCCCTGAAAAGAATTGCTGTTTTTTTTAAAGTTTTAATTCTCTTTTTGCTCTTTCTTCATTGAAGCACGCTTTTTTGATGGCCGCCACCCACTAAGTACTATATTATGAGCCCTTGTGAAAATTTGTTTTAGAGTTTTTTTTTTAAATTAACAAGATTAGGTGAGTTAAGTCTTTGAGCTCACATATGCCTTTATATTTAAAGAATGTTTATACAAATACTTATATATTACTCATTCATTTCTTAACGTAGAATCTAATTTGAGAGTTGATGTTTGTCCTATATATAAGATTTATTTCACATGTTTATTAATTTTTTCCTAAATTAACCCTATTGATGTTTCCTCAACAATAATCACATAGGAGAGAGACGGAGAGAATTAAAGAAGATGATTAGAATATTTTAGAAAAAACATATCATACTAACTACTTTAACTAACATTCTTAATTTACTTAAATTAGTTAATTAAGTTTTATATTAAGAACTAGATGAGTATTTATTAACAAGATTCTTATATCACCTAATGAGATTTGAATATATAATCTTATAAGTTATAGGCCAAGAATGATGGAGCCAACCTTTATTTTCGGAAACTTTTTTGAATTATTTTTTATCTCTTGCTTTATTAAAGTGTATTTTTCTCACATGTTTGAGATATATTTAATGATTGGACAATTTTAAACGAGACCTTATAAAAAAGAGCAAATTAATTCAAATTTTAAACTCTTATAAAAAAACATTTAATTAGAGGGAGCATCATATGCTCCTATTTCCTGTAACATTTGCTTACTTAAAACGCAAAAAAACGGGGACATATGATTCCAATTCAGATGTTTTATATTTAAAAATAAATAAATACATGTAATTATATTCCTTCCAGAGAGATGGATTGATAAGTCATGGATTCTGGCTGATGAATGTGGTGGTCATGCAGCTCCAAGATTGAGATGAGTAAAATTGGTAAGAAGATAGAGTTGTAGCCACCGTCAAGTAACAGTTAATTGGTCTCATATTTTGGTAAATCCCCACAGTCACTAAAAAATATGTTTGCTCGAGTTGGCCAAATCGGTTTGATTATAAAAATGACTAAAAACGACTTTATATAAAGTTTTCTTTCAAACTATCTTTAATTATTTGCTTAATTTTCTCAGCATTTTCTCTATTGGCTAGTCATTGTGGCGGGATCATCAATGTAGGGGGAGGTCCCGTAATCTCAAATAAATTGAACAAAGTCTTCTTTCCGACTCTCGATGGTCCTATTTGAAGCTCATCACACTTTAGGACGTCTTTTCTTTAAAGTTCGTTAATTGCATTCTTTTTTTTTCTGATAGCTCCTTGGACATGAGATTACTGGTTAAGTTGGCTAAACCCCTTGCCAATTGCATTTAAAAAAAATAATTCCATTAAAAGTTATTACAAAATATCAGGACATTTTCTTGGTGCAGTAGGTCCTTTTTTATTATTCCTTCCCGTCTTATTTATAAGTTTTAAATTTGAAAAAGGGTATATTTCATTTTAAAAGCTTCAATTTAGTGTTTGTCTTAACATTTAATATATTTTTTTAAAATTTTTTCCATTAATTATTTATTCTCCTTCATTGTCATAATCTCTCTTATGAGTCTTATCACATTTTCCCACACATTCTCTTTTAACTTTTTTCTTATTTATTATAAGGACATATTTGAAAATAAAATTATATTTCTAACCTATTCATTACTTTTAACTAATTTAAACTAATTATTCGTTTTCCGCAATTTTGTTGTTTGTAGCTTATAATAAGGATCAGAAAAGTAATTAAAATTAACTATTGTAATAAAATTTATTATTAAAAATTTAAATTAATTACCCAAACTTGTGTCTGTAATGGCTTATCCAAACATATATATACTACTTTTAGTTCTAAATATAAGATCTTATATTTAGGAGGGGAAGTAGCTGAATACAAATGATCTCAAAAGTACTGCGAAACATCCTAGGACCATCAAAGAAACATATAATTTGCAGATGTATTCCATGGATTGGGCTTCAGCATTATTTTTGTCAATTTATCAAAAAAGAAAAAAGATTTGTGCGCTTTATATCCAAGTTAAAGTGTGTGCGTGAATTGACTATGATCCTTTCTTGCGTGTTGTCCTTGAAGTTAAATGAATTTCTTGAGTTGGGCTTTAAAAATTGCTCACTTTTGTTTTCATAGAGCTTTTATCATATTTTTACCAGTTATAAGACACTTTAAATTTTTTTGTGTAAAAAGAAACGTATCACTAGATTGCACTCTATTTGTGGAGGTATATATCCACACATATTATTGATTGATAGATCAATACTCCCTAAGTTTTTTTTTTTGGCAAGAAACAACTACGACTTATTTCTATAATTATAAATTTATAATAGATATTTAGAAGATATTTTAAATTTTCTTTGTTAATTATACATTTATTATCACAATGCCCTAAAACATTTGTCTACCACACATCCTCTCCTTTTTATAATCCTCTTTATTTTAATAATTTTTTTTATTCTTTCTCTTATACTCTCTTATCTTTATAAATAAGGGTATTTTTTGAGAAATAGTTACAGTTTTCACATGTTTATTGGCTCTAACTAATTTTAACTAATTTTTTTATCAATATGATTTTATTAATTACTTCTTATAAAAAAAATGGAGGGAATAGGTACTACGTATTGTGAATTGATCAATATTCTTGGCCTTTTACACAAGGCAATGTGGGTCTAAGGTTATCGTTGTGCATGCACATGGATTAATTGACTTAGGCAGTTTCATAGTTTCATATGTTTGTAATCATTCTTTAATAGCGTTGCTCAAAATTAATGCCATGTGTGTTAAGTTATGGACAACTAATCAGTTTCTTTTTTAATTATAGGTATTAATATGTAAAACAGTTGAAAGAAACTAAGTCACATTGATGCTCTACTTGGATAGAAAAAAAAATTGAGAGGAAAGAAAATGAAAAGAGAGAAAATAGAGAGAAGATGTTATCATCCCTTTTGTTTCGATAGACAAGGGAAAATAGAGAAAAAATAAAATGAGTAAATCTCTAAATGATTAAAATACCCTTATCAAAATATATCATATTTAAAATTAAATCAAATTAAATATTACAATAGGAACATTATACTAACATTAGCATCATCAAATTATTCAAAATCAAGTTATTTGGTTTACAAATATTTTCAGATTATTATATTTTAAAATCAAATTATTTAATAAAAATATTATTTTAAGATAAAAATAAAAAGTGAATAATTTTTGAAATGTATTAAAAGAAAATAAGTATGGAGAAGAAGAGAGAGGAGAAGTAGTCATGAAAATTTTGTTTTCCTTTCCAAATCTCTCCATATAAGGAGAAAATAAGACATGGGGTCCATCTTATTTTCTCTCCCACTTTTCTTTCTTCCTATATTTTTTCTCCTATCTAGGCAAGTAAAAACTTATTTCTTCTCATGTTTTTTTTCTCTAATTTTCTTTCCCATCTAATTTTCTCTTAATCCAAGCAGAGAGTAAGTGATATAGTTTATAAACCGAATTGTTAGCAAAAAAAAAAAACTGACTCAAAGTTTTATTTTGCCAACAAAAAAAAACTGAATCATAATTAAACGGTAAGAATGAAGACTTTCATTTTGGATGCTGAGTTAGTTAATGCTGCGTCTCCGTTTCAACTACCACCTTTCTCTTTCCTTCCAGATTTTCAAACGCAACAACCTTTCGCGACTCCGCGTGGTGATTCTTTTCTCCGCCAACCAAGAATTTTTTTTTTTTTGCCAACATTCTTCATATATGAATAATTATTTTTTAATATTAATAATAATTAATCCGTTCATTTTGTACTCCTCTGGTCCCATTTATAAAATAGTGAGAGAATGTTTTTATTTTATTTTATTTATAAGTCACTTCATTAAATTTTTATCATAAATGTACTATATTGTCCTTCATTTATTATAATGTAGATAATTATTTCTTTTGAAATGTGTATATATTAAATAGGGATAAAGTTGAAAAGTTACTATATTTTAATGAAGAATTAATACAATTTAAGGCTTTTCTTAGTCTTAATGAAATATGTTGGAGGTGCTTTATAAATAGAAAATTTTTTTTTAAAAAAACTGTTGCAATTTATATGGCTTTTCAGAAATCCGAAGCAGCATCCAGATGTCTAGATTGAGTTGGTCTTGATGACGTCCGGCTTGACATAAGTCGATCGCCAAATAAAGTGAACGTAAATTGTAATGTAAATACACTATGGTACTTTTAATAAAGCGTCCCATTGATTGCTTATTATAATTTTTTATCCTTATTCAATGTTAACGTAGGAAAGCAGGAAACTTTTTAAATGATGTATTTAATGTGGACAAAATAGGAAACATATTTAGTTTTTAGACAGAGTAAATGAAGTTTATGATATTGTTTTTGTATCAATGAAAAATATTGGAATTAAATTATAAAAAATTTAGGTATATCCAACACTTTGAAGTAGTATTTTTTTTCATGTGCATCTAAAATCTTAAATATTTGTGATGCATATAATACTTTGAAATAATTTTTTAAGTGCATACAACACTCTAAATTATATTTTAATGCATCTAACATTTAAAAGTATATTTTTAATACACGTCCACCACTTTAATTTTTTTTTGTACGTGTAGCACTCTAAATTATTAACTGTAAAATTACACTAAAAAATATTTTAAAATATTAGGTGCATCAAAAAATACTTTAAAATACTGAATACACTTAAAAAACTATTTTAGGATATTAATTTTTTTTTTTTTTGCTAGGCTGAATGCACTTTTATCCGGTTATATAAAG